GTTAGTGAGGAAAGACGATGGTCGGCCAAGTGTTGCACCCTCTCATCCGATCTTCGATCGCGCTCCTCTCCTCCTCCTCATCGTTCAATCCAAGCGGCTGACTGGTGGCTTCAACGTGGAGGACACATCGTGGATGAGTGAATTGGAGACTGGTGAGTACTAATGATTGCAGTGTTACGCATATCATTTCATTTCAATTCATTCAAATGGAGTGAGATTGTAATGTGATGTCTGGCTTCTATTTAGAATTGATTTGGCGACAGGAGGATGAATGCAATGAGAGGTAAGTTAGTGAGGAAAGACGATGGTCGGCCAAGTGTTGCACCTCCTCATCCGATCCTCGATCTCGCTCTCCTCCTCCTCCTCCTCCTCCTCCTCCTCCTCCTCCTCCTCCTCCTCCTCCTTCAATCCAAGCGGCTGACGACTGGTGGCTTCAACGTGGAGGACACATCGTGGATGAGTGAATTGGAGACTGGTGAGTACTAATGAATGCAGTGTTACGCATATCATTTCATTTCATTTAAATCAAATGGAATGAGATTGTAATGTGATGTCTTGCTTCTATTTAGAATTGATTTGGCGACAGGAGGATGAAAGCAATGAGAGGTNAAAGACGATGGTCGGCCAAGTGTTGCACCCCCTCATCCGATCTTCGATCTCGCTCTCATCCTCCTCCTCCTCCTGCTTCTTCAATCCAAGCGCCTGACTGGTGGTTTCAAAGTGGAGGACACATCGTGGATGAGTGAATTGGAGACTGGTGAGTACTAATGAATGCAGTTGTTACGCATATCATTTCATTTCAATTCATTCAAATGGAGTGAGATTGTAATGTGATGTCTTGCTTCTATTTAGAATTGATTTGGCGACAGGAGGATGAAAGCAATGAGAGGTAAGTTAGTGAGGAAAGACGATGGTCGGCCAAGTGTTGCACCTCCTCATCCGATCCTCGATCTCGCTCTCCTCCTCCTCCTCCTCCTCCTTCAATCCAAGCGGCTGACGACTGGTGGCTTCAACGTGGAGGACACATCGTGGATGAGTGAATTGGAGACTGGTGAGTACTAATGATTGCAGTNTGAGATTGTAATGTGATGTCTGGCTTCTATTTAGAATTGATTTGGCGACAGGAGGATGAAAGCAATGAGAGGTAAGTTAGTGAGGAAAGACGATGGTCGGCCAAGTGTTGCACCTCCTCATCCGATCCTCGATCTCGCTCTCCTCCTCCTCCTCCTTCAATCCAAGCGGCTGACTGGTGGTTTCAAAGTGGAGGACACATCGTGGATGAGTGAATTGGAGACTGGTGAGTACTAATGAATGCAGTTGTTACGCATATCATTTCATTTCAATTCATTCAAATGGAGTGAGATTGTAATGTGATGTCTGGCTTCTATTTAGAATTGATTTGGCGACAGGAGGATGAAAGCAATGAGAGGTAAGTTAGTGAGGAAAGACGATGGTCGGCCTAGTGTTGCACCTCCTCATCCTTTCCTAGATCCCGCTTTCCTCCTCCTCTTCCTCCTCCTCCTCTTTTTTCAACCCAAGCGGCTGACTGGTGGACTCAACGTGGATTACATATCGTGGATGAATGAATTGGAGACTAGTGAGTACTAATCATTGCAGTGTTACGCATATCATTTCATTTCAATTCATTCAAATGGAGTGAGATTGTAATGTGATGTCTTGCTTCTATTTAGAATTGATTGGCGACATGCGGATGAAATCAATGAGAGTTGAGATAGTGAGGAATAACGATGGTAAGCTAAGTGTTGCACTTCCTTATCGCATCCTTGCTCCCTCTCTCTCCCATTCTCTTTCCATCTCATTGGCTGACTCATAGCTTGGGCTCATTGCTTCTTTATTAACTGAATTTTCGTGCACGTTGACTGATTTGGAACATTTGTGTATTGATGGAAGCGGAGATATTAAATTTTTTAGAGTTGTATTTTTTATATTTGTATTGGTTAGTAGAATGGGATTCAGTTTTCATCGTTATGGTTTAAAGAATTTGTCCTTTTTTACGCTGATATTAGTAATTTTCGGTCAAATTAACGCAATCACTGACAGGATTTTCTAATGTATTGGTAGCATTAAAAGCTTCTTTATTTTTTAATTAATCATTTTTAATGGTTTGTTAATCATGAAAATCGAAAGCAGTATTGAAACTGCACGAGTAGGTCAGCCAGTTACTATCACGCTCTTTAGTGAACGATAAAGGGATATAAGACATTCGGGCAATTTGAGGAAAGTTATACTACACGAGTCGGAGATAATTGAGACTGCATCATTAAATTTTGATTTCCAATTTGTTTCTCGAGTGAATTAAGCAATTGAAATTTCTATTCACAAACGTCCTAACTTTGCAACAAAAATACCTTTTACATTGTCTGAGACATTAGTCAAACCATTTAAGAGTATATCGTTATAACTGTTAAAATGGTTAGCGCATTTTTTTCCCTTCCATTTAGTTTAAGTGAAGTACCTTAGCTTCTGTAACCAAAGGTTCAGTTGTTCCTCTTTCCGTGGACCTGACTGACAAAAGTCTGGATTGTACTTTTGAATCATAATCCTCCTTTTTACACAAAAAATGGTGATTCATCTTCCTCCTACATCTGCTTTGACGCAAAGTTCAACCAAAAGCCAAACGCCTTCGCAACTGGCCGATAAGTACATTAGCTCATTATCGGACGCTTTGTTTCTCCACAGGCGGAGCATTGTGGAGTTCACAATGCCTTTGTGGCCAAAGAGAATTCCATGCGCACCCAGACAGACTCGAAGGTGCGTACGGACTACTTATCTCGTATGGGGCAAGTGTGATCGTGTGTGCGCGAAGACCTTGCAGCCAGACACTAATCAATATTCCTGTCATGTCTGTGGTCATGTCTGTCAAAAGTCACGGTTGTAAATTTGAGTCGTAACGCTCGTATTATGTCAAAATGGTGATTCATCTTCCTCCCACCTTTGATTTGACTCTCTTATAAGGTGAGGCTAAGTGTATTAGTACGTTATAAATGACGAATTGCCAACTAGGGCGCTAGAGATAGCAATTTCCCATTGTAACTCGAGTTGACATTGTTTCACTCTAAAGAAAAATTGGCATTTTACCACTAACTCAATGATAATCTGAAAAGGCAAAAAATAGAATTGTAAGTCCGTCAAGAGAAGACAATTAATAATTATTATAATTATGCTTTCGTCTTAATAAAATCCCAAGAATGCCATTGGCATGTTGTTGCTATCTGCTAGTCTCTATGACATATTAAGTTAGTGTTAATTAAGCTCTGAATTTTATTCAGTATCTCCACAATAAAATGGCCAAACTTTGTAATTTAAATTCTTTCCTTAATATACTTAAAAAATAAGTTAATAATTTTAAGCTGCTTATCTTCGTATCCAAATCAAGAGAGGCTTATTTCAATTTCCTTCCTTAAAATTGCAAGAGGTTTCATTTTTTCTACAATTTATCGACTACTAGTCTTCCTTTCGAATTAAAGAAAACACCCGCCTTTTCAAAGTCTTAATATGGGAGCGTTCGTGTTTCGTATGATTAGCAAACAGTCAAGAAATTATCATCTGACAATTAGCTTTTTGACCATATGAGCCATATATGAGCATATAAACTGGAATATTTTACAGACATATGTGTATATTTTACATACAGACAATGGGCAATAGATATGAGTACTGTGGCTATCTGATGGACCGACCAAACTTTCGCAGTCATTTTGACTTCGGTAGAACAAATCTACAAATTCTGACATCTGTTCTGCTTTGTGGATTAAAGTATGACGTTTCCCACTTTAGGGTAAACAATGTGACACCATCTGGATCTTAACTTATCAAGCACAACAAATAGTGCTAATGGTAATAATTTTATTTAATCTCATCTTATTGTTATTACATTTGTCATTGTATCGCTATTCTTCTCCAGACTCCAGCACTTCTGATGTATATATTCATGTATTTCGAATTAGGTACCGCAAATGTAGTTAGACAAGAGACAACAAGTTCTGTTATATTTATATCTTAATCGAACAAACTGAAAGTAAAGCATTCCTTGATTGACCAATCAGCACACAATCGTACTTATAATTGGTTCTCCACTCAGAATAAACCATAGCCTCACACCCATAGACGCGTTTTCAACTAATGGAGGATTGGTGTTAGACTAGTAAGGGTATTCCCGCGAAGAGGGTCACACTTCGGCCAAAGTTGAGCGAAAAGCTCTCCAATGGAACAGATGCCGAAGCGTGGAACAAGGTAAGGTGCATCAATTCAACAACTTTTGGTACCAGGAAACACTGATACTGGGGGAAGGAAAAAGAATGGATTGAGCACTGCTGATGCCGTTCTTGGCTACCCAGATATTGGGAGCTACGAAAAGAATCAGGGCTTATCATGGTGACATTGTTGGTAGAGGTGACGGTAGGATAAGCAATGCTAACTTCACGATTCCAATCGAATTGAATCCGTCAATTTCAATGGTTTATAAGCAACCAAAAAAAATTCAGCGAAAGAAACATTGTCTTCATGGTGGAACGTACGTTTTCCAAGGTTTTTTTTAATAAAATGTTTTTGCACAAGGCTATGTTTCATGGGGAAATTTTGTGAAAGTTATGAATTTATTTCCGATAACCTCAATTTTCTCCCCTCCAACTCGATATTTCCCTCTCACTTAAAAGCAATAAAACTGTTCTGAGAGGGTGGTTAGCTTATTTTCGTGTTACCTTTTATATTTCCCATATCTTAACTAAAGTTAGTGAATAGACAGAGGAATTAGAAGAGATGCCATCTGAGTGATAGCAAAAGACTTGTTGCTAACATTTATCTGCAAATGCTATCATGCTGTTTCCTGGGGCCAATAGAGCCTAGTCTCAGTTGTTCACATTAAATGCTTTTCATACCTTGAACCGTGGCTATTTAAATTTAGATATTAAAGGAGTCGAGTAGGAAAACTTGTTAACTATAAGTTTGAAAGTCCGTACTCCTTTATTTGCTATAACGAAGCTATTAAATAAGTAAGATTTAAACACAACTAGCCATTTCGCTCGTAAAACAAATTCAACGCGAGTTCGTAGGCAAGAACTTTGTTGAGGAACCCCATGAATAATGGGACTATGTCCAGAATCTCTATTAGGTTTGAATCTCTGCATTCATTGATCACCTTAGGTAAGCAGCAAGTTTTTCAGCTGTTTCGGTGATTGTGAATATACATATCGGTGTTCAGTTTTGAGCTGATATTGTGTTGCATTTATAAACCGGGCAAGGAAATTGGTAATATTGATACTCTGAAGCGTTTCACATTAAACTCCGTATGCTTTTTACATAAACCCAAGATGTCTGCTGAAAACCTTGAGAGAATCTTGCCGGACATTGCTTGGTAACGTTCAATGTCCAAACAAGTGGAAGATACTTCCTCCGCCTTGACCTCACTCTCGGACGTGCCATTAAAGCGGAGTGGACTAGAACGCGTCTTAAATAGCCTAAAAATAATGGTCGGATAGTTGCTCTGTCGTTCCTTTGATGTCTCTCGTTAAAGAGCACTTAGAAAGCTATTTTTGTGGTCCCACGTTTGGTCAACTCCCAGTAAACACATATTGCATCTATATTTTACCCTGAAAAATGAACCCACACTCCTGCGTACGAAAAATATTCAAATTATTATTCATTTTTGTGGTAAATCGTTTTATAAACAATTTCTAAGGGGGATTTCAGGTGGTTGAAAATTATTACTATGTGGGTTTAAAGGCATTGAATATTTGCATTTTGAAGTGCAAAACAGCACCGTGCGGTAATTTCATGGTGCTAAATACTTGATTACCGTCTTTGCACATTTATGTGAATTACAATAAAGCGTCCAGTTCAATGAATACGATTTATGGCCAAAGATAGGACAAAGGCGCTTTTGTAGCAACTCTTAAAATCTGCATGGCGAACACTATGAATCATAAAAGCAAATTGGAAGAAAAATTTAATTGAAATGATTGGTCCTGGTATGCTAATCAATTGACTTAGTGAAATTGGTTGAGACGCTTTAGAGAAGGTTCTTGGGCAAGTTTTCATTTTTGGCAATGCCCAAGGCAAATCTCCTCTCTTTATTTTACCACGGGACTATGCTTTCGCGTTTGGGATATTGTGTGAAACTCAAGGTGGTTTCTGCCGATGGTGGGGACGGCTTCCCCGGAAACTTGACAGTCTATATTACCTATCGTCTTTCAGAAAATGAAGAAGATCAACGAGTCAGCCTGTTGATTGATTATTTACCTCCACCACAGTATATCTAAAAGACAAAATTCATTATTAATAGGCCGAATAGCAATACACAGTGAACGTGAAGGCAGTCTTCGTTACGCACACATAGTTCTAAACATACTAAACTATATTTTATTGACCAACTTTAACATATTAATCGTCTCCCATATGATAATAGACCTGAAAATCACTGTTATAGCTGCACATACTGGTGAAATAAAAACAGATAAACAAAGGAGTGATCAGATCAAAACCTCCGAAATAAATTGGTTATCATCGGCAATACAATCTCTGCATTTACTTAAACAGCAGATTAACTTCGGGGCTCACACATGGCTGTTTTTCCTGGTTTAGCCTAGTGTTCTCTTTCCATCATATTTAGATTTGATTTTCCAATTCGACATATTTCCACCTTTCTCTTAATATAAAGACGTGACATCATATCCACCTCCTTCTCACCGGGTAATGACAAAGTTGACCGCTTTTAATTTTTCCAGAGACGACTATAGTCTCTAATCCGTGTGCTACTTGATTCTCAATTTCAAAAAAATGGTGCTACTGGGGAATCAATACGATCAAAATAAAAGTATTCCAAGAGCACCAATAGTGCTTGGTTATAAAAGAATAACAAAAAACCCAAGCTTGCAATCAAAAAAGCCAATTTCGAACACAAAGCTATAGTGTTCATACCTCAGGAGATGAAGGGTTGAGGATAATAAAATAATATAATCCGCAAAGTGGAAACATAAACTCTATATTCTTTAATCCATTAAAAGCAATAAAATTGAACAAAGCAAATAAGACTGAATAGTCAAGTTCACAAAACAATGGTCGGTCTTTTCAATAACTGAGTAACATTTTTTTTCATTCTGCGCAAGATGGACAATAGATAACTGCTGAAATGAGTTTCCACGTTTGAAAAAATTGAAAACTTACATTTTAAAAACTAAAAAACCTACTCCAAGCTAATTTTAAAACTGTGTAAGGACCCTTAGTGGAGACACCAGAGTGAACAAGCATTCGAGCAAACTGCCTTTAAACCGATGCCTTCATTTGACCATTAGAGATGTCTTAGTAAATTCGATGAGCTATAACTAACTAAAACTAACTAACTAAATTGCGTCGCGGTCACCGACACCAATTTAGATTTTAGAAAGATTTTGAATTTTACTCCACCAAAGGAACGATTGCAGTCTCCTTTAACACATTATTTAAGTACCAATTACCAGACAGTTACTTTAACATACATACCTAACAAAGACAGAACATCCCCATGTTCTTTATTCGCAATCGGCGCCAATTACCAAACACTGCCGTGATCTGCCGTTGTGATCCGTCAGTTGATGGTTCCAAATGCATTTTATCAACAACAGTAAGATTCTGCCACATGCCTTTAGAGAAGAATTGATCACCTTCAACTCCTCCACTACGCACACTCATATGAACCTGAACACATTAAGAACAATCATGCTATTGCAATAACTTCACCACTACTGGCAGATTTAAGTAGGTTTTTAGAAACGATTTCGACGAGAATGCGCAAGCACCAATCTCCTGTTGAATTAACTAAAATGACGGCGTTGAGCAACCATGTAAAACCTCCCTCAAAGTAGCTAACGGAAAACGAAACTGAACATGGATAAATTTATAGAAAATACAGATCTAATAACACAGATATTTGGCAAAGATGGTTGTAGGAACTATCGATTCAACGTCAATACAAATATGGCAAGTTGATGAATACCAACTATTTCAATGAATTATATTGACATAACAATTTGATGCAGAACAAGGAAAAAGTACCACGTCTTTAACTGTCCAATCATTGAGAGTCAATAAGTGATCAGGTTTCGTGCTCATCAGGGCACTTTGACAACTGGCTTATTGTTAAATAATCCGATGAACTCGCATTCAAATCCAATCTACGACGCAACTCGACTCTACGAATAATTGACAAGTTGATCAGCAATAAAGAACTTTTGAAAAATAGCAACAATCGACAAACTCGAAAAGAGCTATAAATGAGGGGTCTCAATAAGATGAGAATATATCACAATGACTGATGGCTAGTAACACCCAAATAATGTGACAAACTTCAATGAAAATGACAAACATAAGGCACAATAAAATCAGCAACAGACGACGCGTATTATTTACAGAGACTTGCGTACGAGCGCTATTAATTAAGCGGGCAGAAACGTTTAATACGGTTGCTTTAAGCCTTTCAAGGTCCTAAATGACCATACTGTTTGACAGTTAAAGAAAATAGACAAAATTTGTCATTCTAAATATAATATGTAATAAAATATTATAATATGATAATAATTTAATAATATATGATAATATTCATCTTAACCATGTGGTCTAATAGTGTTTTAAAATTTCTTCTGCTCGATACTAAATAATTCTAAATTTAATCTTTTACCTCTATTAATTTTCAAATTTCTATCATAATTTTGCAAGTATGGCTTACGTTTATAACCAGTAAAATTCTCAACCAACGATTACCGCTTTACGATTGTGTGCCTATTTTAATATGAAATAGAGGCATTATGTATTTTGCAGTTGCCCTTGTATTATCAGCTCTCAATATTTGATAATTAGACAAAATTATCAATTCGTCATTTTTCGCATATTATATGCCAGTGATTGGGTACGTTTTTGGACACAACTACAAGATTCCCACATTTTTCACTATAACTTGTATTAATTAGATATAAATCGCAATGGTTCATTTTAGAAGGAAAATATTATTTCCATTCCAATATTACAACAGAACTCAATCATATCTTAGCGTGTCCATATAAATAGAATTAAAAGTTCAAACATTAGAATTTAACACGATACTATTCATTATTGTTGCTTCCTGTACCTTTCCGATTTTGATGCCTCATATTGGTTGAAATCATCATCTAATCTTAGAAATCTCATCTGCAATTTGCAATTTAGTTCTCCTCCAATTCACTCGAATTGGCCATACGTCACTTTCCCCATCATTGTTTATTAACTTAAAAGCAGCTCAATTCTAACCTTTACTTATATGTGGACTAACAATGAGCAACTTTTGAAGATGCAGGGTGATTTGGGTAGACTTGACAGGAAGATTGTTGGTTAATTTTTTTCAGTTTTCATGCTCACTTTGTTTCCTTTTAAAGTTAAAGCACTTCTTAAGGCATGTATTTATACATAATGTTATGATTTATGACAATCGTTAGTTGAGAAAACACTGACATGAAATGTTGAATATTGGGTTGCTGTTGTTTAAAAAATAATTTTGACCTAAATTCCAACTTACAATAAATTAAGCGAGCTCGGTTTTGATGCAGATACTTTTAAAGAAACAATCAATAATCGTTTGCATGAAGAAAATAAATAAAATATTTACAGATGACTCAAACACTTCTGTTTAATTTACAGAGGCCACGTGAATATATCAACCATTTAAAGTCCATAGCATTTTAAATGATTGTTAAATTATCGAAGCATATATATATTTATCTACATATGGTACTTGAACTGAATCTCATCGGTTGAGCACAGCGGTAAAAGGCGCAGGATTTTCAGTGGAACATGTAATAACTCCTCATTTATCGCAAACAATAATGAAATTATGAGAGTAAGAAGATTATTGCTCATTACCATAAGGACAATTGTCTGTTTTGAAGAGATCAAATAAAGATGATGTGGTTTAAATGCAGGGGGACTGAAAATGATGACTACTCTTTGAAGTGTGGAATATACTAGTTGAAGCGAGACGCATTATTCGCGTTTATGGCATTGAAGCCACAGACATCTCCCATGGCATCAATTGTTTGGTGAGGGATTAGACTTAATCGTTTTGATGTCAAATTTTACAAATATAAATCGAAAGTCATGATTTCAAGTATGTTGCATTCATGTCCCATTGTTTTCAGACAATAAAACGCATTTTCAAAAGCTCATGTTTTTGGGCGAATTGCTATTTTGTCCTTTTCTCCGTGGTCTTGTAATTAGTAAGAATAAATATCTACTTGAATTGTTCAATGTCAGAAGGAAAGCAAAGAGTCCTTTTGTGTGAAATGCTGACCATGTTATGAAGGATAGTAATGTAAACGATGAAGAATTATTTGGTGTTTTCTTATAACGAGTTATTTCGAATCAGCATAAAACAAAAACGGTTTTGACATTGCTAAGTCAAGTTTGAAAGGATCTGCTTGTACACCGAGTATAGCATGAATCGATTACAAATCGCACATTCATGTTTCGATTTTTTCATAAAATGACTTAGCAACATTGTATGAATTAACGGATCAAACATTTGTACCCCATTTGTAGGTCACAAAACTGTCCACTTCCTTGTTCAGTATAACTGTCACATCTGATATGATGGTAGTGTTTTTGGTTGTGAGATGAGCTGAAAGATAAGTTTGGATAGGAAATGGGAATGAAGCGACAGTCATCTTTATTCACAATGCCTTACGACAAAGCTTCACATTCGTCGATACACCGTCGTTCCAAGTGCAAATTCATGACGAATTCTCGTATAGATGTAGCTATTGGATCCAAATTCAACAATTGAATCTTTGATCATTAGTCAATTAAAACATTTTATATTAATTTTCTCATTAAAATGTTTTATGATCATGAGAAATGTATTAATTATTAAACACTTGGAATAATGACTTGCAATAAATACCTTATTGAATAATTAAAAATAAATAATTATAAAGTCAGTTTTTCTTAAACTGGTACTCATCTGTTTAGCTGCATCATAGATATTAATCCCAGATCAACCGATGTTTTTTTTCAAATAACAATATAGTGATATTAGAGAAGGGATTAATTCGCCACCGAAAGTTAAAATATTATTTGTTTTGAAAATATGATCTCTCTAAAAACGAATGTGATAAGAGCTTAAAAACTATTTCCTTACCCTTTACAAATTTAATTATTGTATTATATTCGAGTGATATGAGTTGCTTATAAAAGGTTACGCATGTTGAAAAAAGTGAAAAAATCGATTTAATGATGAAATTGATAATTTGATTTTAAG